TGGCTGCAGCTCGCTCCTCCGCTGCCGCCGGGCAAGCGCCCAGAGATAGCTGGGCGCGTACTTTTCGTATGGTTTTGATTTTGCCTCTCTCCGGATTTCTCTCGCAATAAATCCTGGAGGTGGATAAATAAGTTAGGTGATTTAAGTACCAAGGCTCCTCCTATCCTGAGACGTCGCCGAAGATCAAGGATGCTGGCCTTGCCTCCTCTCCCTTCATTGCCAGAGCCACTCCTTGCAGCCATAAAGCCAAACCCCAGAGACCTCAGTGGCAACGGCAAGTCGGTGTTGTCAGCCCCTCAGGCTCTGCCCACATGCCTGAACCAGAAAACAGGGGAACTCCTTCAGCAGATGCCAAAGTCTCATGATCACTGATTAATTTGAAAGGCTTTGCCATAGTAAGGATCTTAGCCCAGCCCTGCTGTGGCCTGAGTTTTTCCTGTCTTTGTTACTTTGCTTCACGTTACATCTCGCCTTCCACTCCAGATCTCTCCTAATGCTGGTAATCCATAATCCCTTCATTTACCACCTCCAAAAATAGGAAGGCTCCATCCCTCCCTCGTCTTCTCTCAAGCGTCTGTCTGTCACACACCAACCACACCTCTCCCGGTGCTTCTGACTGTTCACACTGCTCCGCATTTGGGAAACTGTCTACAACCGTACAAAAAGTGCATGAAATGCAACCCCACCAGACCGGCAGCATTTCGTCCTGATGTAAACAGCTACACAAGGTGCATGTAATTGTAGTTTTGGCAGATGGAATAGCTCCTCAGCTTTAAGGCTCTTCTTCAAAATTCCCCTCAGCTCACCCGACAGGGCAGTGCCCTCTTGGAAAATTGCTAGCAAATGTGGCAGCTGATATAACTACTGAGCCACTGCTGCACAGCAGCTGTGCAATTAGCATGGGCATTAGATTTGGCTGCTTGATTTTACACCTGTATGAATTTTGTCACAAAACATAAGAATGAGAGGTTTTTATGCAGGGATATTTTCTAATAGAGCAATTCCTTTGCAAAGCTATTTTCTTTCCTTAGAAACCTCACTGGAAAGGAAGCTGCGGACATCTTTTTGTCTTTACACATTTGGAATGTTCTAGTTCCCAGTTCTGTTAGATTCTGACCAATTTCACTACAGAATATAGTTGCTAGTTTTTTAGTACTTTTCCTCCTTATGTCTTAAAATATACATACATCCCTAGCACAAGGAAAGTTGGTAAAAGGCACTCTCTTGCATTCTTACAGGCACATGAGTCAGAAGAATAAACTAAGATTTGGCAGCTTACTGTTGAGCTCTGCTGTGAAAATATTAAATATTAGTGCCTTTCTAGAGTAGTCTGCCATTATACATCTTTGTTGCTTCTTCATACTGAAAGGCAAGGTGGCCGAACCTGCCTAAACTCTCTCTGTCTTTTATATTCTTAAAATATGGTGATCTAATGACACCTCAAAAAATAGAAAATAATCAATTCACCAGATAGATAGCATCCTTTTCTGTAGGCCTTACAGTTTGCAGAAGGTTAGGAGAGTCCAGCGTTGCGCTCAGACAAGTCCATCTCCAGTCACAGAAAAAAGTAACTTGGATGTCACGAAGTGGCGTTGTGCATCTGATCTCATCACTGCACAACTCCAAACAGAGATACCACCTCTGTCACAGTTGCTTCATTTCCTAATCCATGAGCTACAGTTTTAGATGTACTAGTTGGAAGATATACCACGTTACTCTTTTGTCTCTGTTACGATGCCAGATCCTCATCTGGGTTTCCACCAGGATTCATTCAGCTCTGGACTGTGGAGGAACTTCAGTCCCACGTAGGTCTCCTTGTCACCACAACTTCCTTCCATGCCACAGGGAAAGAAGGGCCATCAAAGTCCTCCTCTATAAGATTTGTATTCCAGCTGCATGAGCTTTTGGTAACTCCCAGCCTGGGTCATTCAGTGCTTTTTTAATAACTAAAAAAGGCAAAAATTAAAATAATGTTAATTACTCTTACTTTAATTACAGTCAAAATGTTCAGACTGCGTAAAGAGCAGAGTCCGTCTTAATTTCTCTTTTCTCCCGGTTTACCATTAGATGGCAGTGAATAGCTCCCTCTCAAAGCTGCCACGAGCGCAGGCTGCGCTCTCAGAAGCTTCCTCCAAAAACATGCCAGCTGGGGAACGGATGTACCTGACCAGTACATTCTTTAAGATGCTTTCAGGTGATCTGAAGTTTTTTGTTTGTTTGTTTGTTTGTTTGTTTTTTCAAATCATATGCAGCACAGCAACATACAGCAAAAGTGTTAGCTTTGCCAAGAAAGAGTAGTGCTCCGTGAATCCTTTTGAAGTTTGAGTGAGAAATTAGTCTGACCAAGATGTACTCTCCTTCTCATCGTTATGGTTATACAGTTGCTTCATGTTTTTTCAGTGGAGTCATCTCCTGTCTAGAGAGTGTAATTCTTCTCCTGTTTATGATTTTCATTTTGCCTATTTTAGTATATTCCCTATGACATTCACTCTCCTTGTGACTAGTCTCACAAGGAGACTACACTTTTTACTTTTATAGCTCAGAGAGAAAATTCTCAATAACATTTGACCTGTGTGTTGGACTCTTTGATCAGGATTTCCTTTCCCACTGCCTATGTTTTTTTGTCGCCTTTATTTTTCTGTAAGGTCAGTCGAGTGACAGGAGCAGATCTGCTGCTGCTCACTGCATCTGAAAATCAAGCCAAGAGCACCATATTGCCGTTCTAGCCCTGTTAGTAGCTATAACTCTAATACTGAATTCCACATCTCACCAGACTGCCTGCTGCTGGAATTCAGCTTCAGCATTACCTTTCTAGAACCACTTGCCTCTAAATTACACTGCTCATTTCGAGGTGCACTGATGAGGTGGCTCGACAATGTTCTATGTATGTTTTTAGAGTCTGGGAAAACAGTGTCCCTGTGTGAACACCTCCTTTAAGTTTGCCCATATTCACTAGAATAATGAGTTAAATCTCCCTGACTGCCCGTTCACCTCTTCCAGCATTACATGCCTATTTTTTACCTCTTATGTGTTTTCTTTTCTTAGCGTTAAGTCTGAAGGCAATTCCTTTGCTTACACCCACTCTGTGTCCAAATCCTACTCTCTCTCTAAAGCATATATCTAAAAAACTAATCTTTCCTGCAGCTGAAACTCTTTTTTTCTGTCCCTTCCATGGCTGCCTTTTCAGTTGGGAAACTGCTCTAAATTGTTTTCCCTTTCTCACATACCTACCCGTACCAGCTACTACTCCCCTGTTGCTATAAAACATTGGATTTATTCCCTTTAGGATTCCACTCCCTACAACTCCCAGGTACGTTGAAACTTGGCTTTGTCTCTCTCTACTTACCTTGTAGAAGGTGGTGCCGCTTCTTTTCTCTTCCAAGAGCAATGGCATTATGAACTTCTGTCTACTTTTTCCTGCAGTCAGTTTGGTGTCCTGCACACTGAATCCCTTTCCAGAAGTAAACGAGGTCTCACAGACCCCTTTCCTCGCAACCTACGTATTCTGTAAAACCTCATCTTAGACATTACAGATAGGTAATCAAGTAATACAAAGGCAACGTGGATGACTTTCAGGTATTGTTTTTATTTGTTACTAATATTTATTTATTGTATTTATTTAAGTAATGGGGATATCGCCATTAAAGTAGGATATTTTATTTGTAAATCCTTTTCAGTATTTTACTAATTTGGCTTATGTCTGTCTATCCTCCTTTATAGTAGAAAGCCACATTGAGCCGTAACTAGAAAGAAGATGGGGATGGCCAGAGCAAGCTGCTCTGACCAGCACTCAGTAAGTTGATAGAGGCCACCTTAATAATTCAGAGCATACCAACCCACCTAAACCAAAAATTAATAGCTTTCTTGCCAGTGAAAATCAGTGCCACAGCAGGTATTAAACAAAAGGTAGCAAAATTGTGAGTAACTTCCTTCAGTCGGCCTGGGCCATATTCAGTCCAGCTACCTAGAGATGAAAGGCTCCACGCTTCCACCGCTACTTCTTTAACTCCTCCGTTTGCGGGAAGTTTGCAGTGAGATTTGTTATTTTTTCGTTCAGTTTCTTGTTTGCCAGTTATATCAAATACAATGACTTCTTTGTAGGAAAAAGTTAACGTGCTGTTTTCTAAGACAGACTAAAGACCTTCACTCATTCTGTACTGAACATGCTCTAGTCCTGCTGGCTTTGGTTGCTGCTCTAGGATTTATCTAGCTACTGCTAACAGCGGGTGGCAAATGCAATACAAAGGAAAAGCAATCAATTAAGCTTTTGTTATTTGAACTTTACTTATTAGCTGTAACAACTGCACATTCCATGGACAAATGTTAATTAGTGTGAATTATTTGTTTACTTCTGTGTTTCCT